TTGTGGAGACACTAAACACACCTTTGACCTCCACCAACACAAACAGCAGCACTAAGAAACCAAACAGCGCCTGATATATATGGATGTGATTAATCTGAGAGACCATTATTGTTTCAAAGACCAACAAAACTCACTGAAACTGTGTGTTTGCACAAAGGCTGAAATGCAGATGTGTATTATTACTTCAGATTCATGCACTGAGCTCTAAATCTGTCATTAAAGTGTTCACATGTAAACCATGCTGTTTCTATCACTGCACACTTTACTCAGAAACACATGCAGACACGTTGTTCTGCAAATGAAAGAAGGGAAACAGAAGTGGTGCTTTATGTTTATCTCAGCTCTACAATCAGGAACGACAGGGAAATAAAGGACAAAGGATCCCAGCAGGAAGAAGAAATGATTAACTACACATGAAATCAAACACTGTGAACTCTGGACTTCAGATCAGAAACAGATGAAGGTTTTATGACAGAAATGAAACTGTGGCGGCGTGTGGTCTGTGGTGCTGCTGCAGGGGAAGAGGACGAACCTGAGCGGCATCCACATTCATGCCTCACCAACTTTTAATAAAAGTGACCTGAGACCTAAGACCTGAGACCTAAGACCTGAGACCTAAGACCTAAGACCTGAGACCTAAGACCTGATACCTGACACCTGACACCTAAGACCTGAGACCTAAGACCTGATACCTAAGACCTGATACCTGAGACCTGATACCTGACACCTATTGAACCCGGTTCTTTTATTCTTCTAACTGGACAGAGAAGACGCGGTTAAAAGAGTAATTGAGGCTATTATAAAACCGTATATCTTTATTAGGTATGTGTGTTTTTGAAGGGATGCCAAAGGCAATCGTTTTTCTGTAAAGCAAATTTACCTTGCCTATGGGTATAAATAAAGTTACCTTGACCTTGACCTACATTTGTAATTTATCATTTCAAACTGGTCGATTTCCAGACAGAATGAAAATAGCAAAAGTTACACCTCTATACAAATCTGGCAACAAACACCATTTCACAAACTACAGGCCTGTCTCTTTACTAACTCAATTCTCAAAAATTCTTGAAAAACTTGTTTAACAGCTGACTGGAAAAATTTATAGATAAACATAAACGACTCACCGAGAGTCAGATTCAGATCAAGCAGATCAACATCACTGGCACTATTAGTTTCAATAGAATACAACACAATTCCCATAGACAAAAAGCAACATCTGGCTGGGTTATTCCTTCAATTGAGAAAGGCATTTGAAATGATAAATTATTATATATTAATAAGAAACCTGGAACGCTATGGTGTTATGGGGTTTTTGTACTTCCAAAGCTGTGAATTTACGTACCACCAGAAAAAGCTTTTGTGTTTCTGTGTATGGAATGAAGCTGTGGAACAGTTTAAGTATGGCGTTCAAGCAACGTCCAAACATAAAGCAGTTCAAAAAGACTTATAAAGATATGATTTTCATGAGTTACAAAGAAGGGGAAAATGTTGAAATTCATTTAAGGTCAATATTTAAGAAATTTTATGATGTGGTGTATATATTGTATCTGTCACGGGCCATGGGTCGATGACCCAGTGTTTTTGTATTATTGCCGTTATCCTATGATTTATTCTTTGTATTTAACTTCTAGTGTTCTGAGTTCTGTTTTGTATTCTAGTTTCGAGGTTTAGTTCTGTGCTCAGTTTGTTTCCTGATTTGCTTTGAAAGTCTGTTTAATGTCAGTGTTTCTAGTTTTGCATCATCTGTCTCATTAGGTCTAATTTCTCCAGGCTATGTTCCCACCTGTTGTGTTCTCCAGTGTTCAGGGTTGCGTCGTACTCTCATTCTTGCCCATATGTTCTGTTTTCATGCTCTGTTCTTAGCTGTTCAGGTTTAGGTTTTGTTTTGTGTTTTGCCAGCAATACAGCTCAGGTTCTCTTGAGTTAACTTTGGCCTCCGTGAGTCCTTATTTTAGGTCCTTTACTGCCTGCCTGCACACACACCATGACAATATCAGAAATCTGTTCGTTATTATTACTGCACATTATATCAGTAAGGAAGCTGACTAAATATTGACTGATAAATTATGTTAAAGGGGTGGGATTAAATAAGTTGTACTTCTTGATATGTTACCAAATCAGAACAGAAGAAATATTGAAATGTATTAACTTTATTTTTATTTTTCTCTTTTTTTTCTTTGCTAAAGGGACTTTATATAGTGTTTACATTATCAAAAAACAAAAACAAAAACAAAAAAAACAGAAAGAATCAGCAAACTAATAATCACAGAGATAAACACAGAAAATATTTAATCATAAACACAAAGTCCGGAAACTCAAAGAGCCAGGACCATGACAGTTTCAGCCTGCTGTATTTCCTGTGCTTGTTTCCATGGTGACTGGGGTGACCAGCTATTGGACATCATATTTGTTCCTCTGATTTCCAAAAGTGAACGTGTGTCAGCAGAAACCTTTGGTTCACAAACACGTCTGCATTTGTCTCTATGAAAGCCAAAGAAGAGGCCACGCCCACAAACACTGTGACAGAAGAGCATAAAAACAGATGTTAGCCCACATCTGTGCTCCGACACAGCTGGGAGAATGATGTGTGGATAATAAAGTTTACTTGACTGTCACATGATTCCTTTAACCTGCACAGTTTGTGTGTTAGTTTGAAGTTTGACACGTCAGAGTTTCACTCATTAAAAAGCACATGTTGATATTCTGCTTCGCTCTGAGTAGAAAAGCTTCTCAAACTTGTCCATCTCTGTTTCTTCTTTTTTTTCTCTCACAGCTTGGTCTTTTTTCTTCTTCCATCTACATCAGGCTGCTCTCTCCACCTCACACTGACTCCACCCACCCCTTCCTCCTTAAGCTGTCAGACAGCAGCAATTATTAGAAGATGTGGAAATCCATGTTGTCACTACAATGCTTTTCTTGTCATGTCAAATCCAGAAATGGATATTTATATTAAAGATGTGAGTGTGAAGGTGGAGTGTGGGAACTTGTCAGCAGGTCTGCTTTCACAACAGGGTCATTCAGATCCACAGAAGAGTCCTCCAGATTTCCTGCGATCTTCACTTCCTGCCTCTTTACTACAGACACACAAAGAGGTGTTGTGTGTCTGTTCTGATCAATGGTCATGAGAATTTGCATATTAATGATCAAGGAACTGACCTCCCAGCCCATTGTTCCTTCAGTGGTGCTAGTTTCAGACTGAAGAAGTCACTTGGATGAGTGACGAAACATTTCTCTCACTGAAAACGCTACGTCCGGATGAACAGAATCAACTTTTGGGGATTTACTTATCTGGATGATTGAGCGTGCATCAAGACATTCCTGATGGAATTCACATGGTGGTGTTTGAGTCCATCCACAGGAGGAGACACCGAATTAAAGAGCAGATTGATCTGCTCGTTAAATGTATTCCTATATACGTATTTCGATATGGGCAATTTCTGTCAAAATGACAAATGATGAAAAGCTGCAGCTTGGACAGACGGGAGGCTCAGCCAAACTGTTCCACAGAAGAAAAAAACCCAGATAATCTCCACTTTGTATATTAATAACAGCAAATATCAGATTCTCCTCTATCAGGCTGTGGAAAAAGGCAAAGGTGACCAACTCTGGGGTCCTCGGGATGTCACCTATAGGTGATTTGTAGGTGATCGAAAACAGGGAACCAAGAAAAGGAACCAGGAGGATCAAGGAAGTGTAAATCTTACACTAAAGTTTTGGAGAAGGAGGTACCAATTGGACTGTTTCCCCCACTACTGAACTCACAGGTGAGACACCTGCAGCTTTACTGACACCCAGTGGACACAGCAGGAAACTGCAGCAGCTCAGTAAGTAATTCAAGTTTTTATTCAGGGCTGCTGTGGCTCATTAAAAACTCTGAAATTCAAATAAACGAAGGTCTTCAAATGTCTCATATTTACCCAAAATCATGAAATTGAAGATTTTTTAAGACTGAAAGAAAAAATGAAGCCAAGAAGAATTTTTTCAGTCAGTTTTTAAAGTTTCACTCGCTCAGCGTCTCTCCTCTTATCACCGCTGATCAGACACATTTATTTATTTGAAGATGCAGTTAGCAGCTGACACGCTGATGATGCTCAGTAGATCTGATCTTTGTATCTGGATTTATTTGACAGGGACAGTGTTCATGTTCATGGACATCAGGATAAACACAGAAGATGGAACCCTTGCTCGCCATCTGCCTGTCTTACCTGTTTTGTTTGGTTTAATTTTGATAACACTGACTTTCTTCCTCTTTTTTGATGGTTCATGATCATCTAACAGTCTTCAACTTACAATCTTCTGTGGATAACCTTTCCTGGCAGCTCTGTTCTGGTGTCTGTTCCTGAGGACCATCTCCAGCCTCGCCACGACTCGACTCGGACTGCTTTTCCATTACAATTTAGTATCTTCTGACATAGCAACATGTCCGAGTGTCCTGCAACATATTCAAGGCTGAGACTACTTGAACAGAAGAGAGAGACAGTGCAGAAGAGAGATGGTGGATATACTGGATAAATGAAACTGGGGTTACCAAACATTAAGTGCTTTTATAGAAAATATGAATCACCTTAGAAAATGTGTTCATCAATAATCAATTCTCCTCCATTCATCCCTGTTACAGTCATGGAGGCACTGAAACCTATCCCAGCTACCATGGGGCGAGAGGCAGGGTATAATCTGTACAGCATGCCAGTCTGTCACAGGTATGTGTGTCACATGTATGTCACACTGGAACTGAAGTGGCAACCCCTAACCCTAATCAAGTAAATTTAAGTAAATGTGTTTGGAAAAATGTACTTCTTAAAGTACTTTTATTGCATCATGTTCATTCACTCACTCATGAGCTGCTGTAACATGAATCAAAAGGCTGAATGGCCACCTCAGCATGCAGTCAAGTTCTATAGTCTTACTAATGACCTACTAATTGTATTTAGGTGTGTTGCAAAAGGGTCACATGGAAAATTTGCAGGACACCGACCCTCGAGGACTGGAGTTTGAGACCCCTGGGCTACGTCAAAGCTTGGGGCTGCTTTTGGCTGACAGAGCAGGGACACAGCAAAAGGCTGAGAGTTGCACAGACAAGAGAGAGAAAGAGACTGCAGTAAGGCTCATGCTGTTGTAGGCGGGTAGAGAGCACAGAGACCATAATGAGGCTGAGAGTTGTCAGGGAGGGAGTAGGAAGGAAGACTTTGATAGCTATATGCTATATGCTGACTTTCCAGGAGTTTAGACTTAAAAACAGTAAGGCAGAACTACAGGTTAAGAAAACATGCTCATCCTCAGAGTCTGTAATTATATAAGGGATTTGGTCTAAAAGTAAAAAAAAACAAAAAAACAAGCAAAAATGGTAATATTGCTTATTTTGCCATAAGTCACAGTAATATACAACATCACACAAAACTGGCTAAAAACTAACAATAATTTGAAGACATGAGTATCTTACTTTTTATGTTTGGATTGTACTGATCTCAAATGAAAAAAAAAAAGCACAATGTTAATAAAAAGAGGAAAACATTATATCCAGTGTCACGGATAATGGAAAAATGCAGACTCAGTCGCGGAGCTCTGGGTGCAAAGTACACAGTGCGTTTATTTACAGTGCCCAAAAAACAGTTTCAAAACATAAAGCGAAGTGCAAAGTCCAACGGTGATCTTCTCCAAACTCCCAGTGGTGTGCAGGTGAGTTCCCAAAGTGACATCCCTGTGTGTGTTCTCCTCCAACAGCTTAACCCCGCGGGCTCCTTCTCATCAACCTCCAGCTCTGTGTCCTTTCTTCCAAGCTTCCAGTACAATCCAGCGTCGACTACCATCTGGATCCACAGTTAAATACCTCAGCCCACAACGAAGGATGATCAGAGACAGCTGGGTGGCAGATTAGGTGCAGGTGTGTCAGCCACTGGGTAGGGGAGGAGGAGAGAGAGAGAGAAACACACACACACACACACAGGCAGGTCGCCCCCGGGAAGGACCGTCCGACCATGACACCAGTATAAGTTCCAGGTAGGAAACACATTCTTCATCATTAAAGTCACAGAGGCAGAAAGTCATGTGGGCATTACATGTGATCATTCAGTTTCAGGTATTCTTTCACATGTGTATAAATTGAAGCAGGTGTGTACAACGAGTGTAACACACTCACTGTACACATTTGTAGAGGCAACTTTACGTTTCTGCATCATATCGCACACATTTGTAGACATTTTGAGGCTGCATACAGCAGCCACAGAGCCAACTGCAGGGCTAACAAAAGCACCCTTGTAGCTTTATAACAGAAAGACATGAATGTATGATATGAAAATGTTTTCTTTGTTCAGAGTTGGTATTGTCTTGGTATTTTTCTGTTCAAGCTAGTTTCAGAGATATCATGCATACTTTGACCTTCAAATAATTAATAACTAAATTCCTACCCGATACAGATCAGAGTGCAGTGCAGGACCTCCTACTGCAATCTCTGGTCAACTCTACTGAGCTTAAATGATCAAATGAAAAATCAACATCAATTCAAGCTATCTGGGCTGTGACTTTACAAAAGCATTTGATATGATAGAGCCCAGATTATTGTGGAAATAGCTTGCAAGATATGGCGGACTGACATCAGCTTGTACAGAGCTGGGCCCTAAACTCTTTGTGTTGTACATAAATGATGCACAATGTGTCTAAATTGTTCAAATTCACTTTATTGGCTGATGACACTGCTTTAAATTGCAGCGTTAAAGTCTGGGAAAGCTTCTGAGTGCAGTGGAAAAGGAACTGAAAGTTTTAAAGAAATGGTTTGACATGAATACATTTTCACCAGAGAAAAGGGAAAAAAGTGAATCACATTTAGTAACAGGAAAACTTAAAGAGAAATCTGTCACGGTTCTGGGTCATTTGAGTTTCTTATGTTTTGGTTTGATTTTGTATTTTGGGCTATATTTTTGATCTCTTGTCGGGCTTTGATGATGATGATGATTATTTAGTCTGCTTCAGTTTATTCTGGTTAAGGATTTAGTTCTTATGTTTTGTGTCTCGTGTTTAGTTCAGGTTTAGTTCAGCGTCAACTCAGCGTCCTTGTGAATTATTTCTTGTTTCCGGTTTTATTGTGAAGGTCCGTGTCTCATGTGAGTGTATGCAGTTTTAGATGCGAGTGCAGAAATGACAGAGGACTCATTAAAATAATGGGTGACTGTACTGAGTGTAATGACAAAGATTTAAAACTGTGTTTTAGTATGTACATTTAAAATGTTTAACAGCTAATTACTGTACTTGTTGAATAATTGTTTCCGTTGGTTTCTGTTTTGTGAAATCTAGAACATGCTGCATGTAAGAATGGTAGGTGATTCAAGCGACAACATATATAATAATTCTGGGATTTTTTTTATTTTTTTGTTGTTGCCTTTTTTAATGCTTTGGCCATTTATTCATTCATCATCTATCATAAGAGCTAACTGCTGCAGTGACCCCTTGTAAATGAGGGATCAGCCTAACTTATTTACTATTTGTCAAAACTCATTCGCCAGGAGGAACGGAGATAACTTGGCAGTTTTTACAGAAAACAAATAGATCAAGAAAGGAGGAGAAAATTCCTGAAAATCTGAATGAAACATCAGGATATGTCCAGGAACACACATGGATAAAATCCAAAAAGAAAATCAAGGAAAGAGAAACAGAAATAAATCCCTGGATAGCTTAAGATAAGATAACCTTTATTAGTCCCACGCATGGGAAATTTCACCCTTGAATGAGCTCAACAATTTGAAAATTAAACAGGGAATGTCATTAAACTAATATTCAGGCTCTCTTCATACTTCATCATCCATGCATATCACACTCCTCAAAGAGTCCAGGGAATATCAGAAAAATGTTAAGGCTGAAAAAGCTGACCAAATAATACTTTACATGGATTTCTGCAAATGAGTGCATGCAATGTGGGAGGGACGCTGCAACCAGGGAGAACAGAGCAAGGTTTTTGTGTTGAGGATAAGTTCAACCTCATTACTCCTGTAAGAAGATTTGCAAGCTGTGGAATACATTTTTGTTATATCTTTTCACATCGCAGTCCCGTGGAAGTTTTTCTTCTTCAAACTAATGTAGGCTACACGAGTGAAGCACGGGAAAACTGGTCTCAAGGTTATACAGATACCTCTTCTTCATATTTTGGAGAATCTGATGTCATCAGAGAAGACTATGTTGAACAGCTTCGAATAATGAGCTTCAGAAAGCTTCATTTGGCCATCACTTAATCATTTCCTTACGAACCATTAAATCAGGTACCGAAACAGTTAAGTTTTAAATAATTCTTCTGACGTCACTGATCACGTGACTCTGGCCAAACAAATCACACTGAAGCAGTGATTCTGAAGCATACGCGCGGAGCTTTAAGCTTTCAGCAAGCTAACGCTAGCGTTTGGTGTTCGGGTGGAGTGGAGTGGAGCTTGTTGTTCGTGTCTCTGTGCGAAGAAACTGTAAGTTTGCTTTGTTTCCTCCTTTAACAGTTTGTCTTTATGAACTTTACTATTAGTTCAGATCATGTTTGATTTCTTTAAACAACAAACTATGTTTTTATTTTCGGAACAAAACCGTCGTTTCATAAACAGTCAGCCCGTTGTAACTCGGCCGAGTGTGTCCGCCATTTCCTGTTACTGTTTGTGATCCAGGAATCTAAACACGGAATTCGGCCGCTGTTCCACGGTAACTGCTGGCAGATTAACCCGTGTTCGGGTCTTTGAGACCCGTTCTCAGTTTTTTTTCAAAAGAAAAATTAAACAGTTAATATTTTTTCAACCTGAAATTCATTGGCTTTGGCTTATTTTCTGTAAATCCGAACTAATTTTCAATGACCTCATACTGTACCTCCCCCACGCATTTAGATTACATACAAGGTGTTCGGGTCCACTGGACCCAGGTCTAATAAAAGTGTTGAAAGTGTAGGTCCTGTGTTCCCACACTCTGTCTTCCTCCTTTCTCGTGCTGCTGATAGTATTTTCTTCCCCTCCTGCTGCGCACAAAGTTGCCATATTATTGAAAATTCAACTATCAACACCGTCTGCTCTTACATCTCACACACATTTTACCCTCTTTTTTTGAGGGATCCAAATTTTCTGTTCTTATACCCTGTCCCACCTGCAAATTAGGGTCATAATACTGTAAATAAGACTTTGCCAGTGTGGTTCCTCATCACAGCTGATCAAGATGGCCAAAATATTATCTGCTGCAAGGGCCTTATTGATTTTGGAAGACAGAGGAGCTTCTGATGATGATGTCGGGGAAGAAGTTTCAGAATATGAGGATCACATTTTTAAAAATTCAGTCTGACAGTGACAAATGAAGAAATATGGATGTTTTAAAAAAAAAAAAGAATAATGGAGAAATTGAATTATCTTCTTGCCCAAGAAATGTGTTGTCTTTCCACTCCACTTGATTATAACTGATTTTATTTTTTATAACATTTTATAAAAACAAAAACGAGAAGCACATTCATTCATAACTGTGATCTAACAAAGGTAAAGGGAAAAAATAACCATGTTTGTTGTTTATGTGGCTTGTAAGTGGGATGAAGTAAACATTGTTGAGTAATTTAACATAAAATTGTTTGATGGTGTTAATTTGGAAAGCCAAAACTTTAGCGGGTCCACCAGACCCATGAACACTGGCTGAGTAACAAAAAATACGAACACCACACAAGGTTAACTGATACTTAGTTTAGCTAGCAGAGCAGCTAGCAGTTAGAATATGAACTGTCAGCTTGGTCCTGGGCATTGTTACTGAAATAAAGCTGCTCGCTGCCATTTCTACAGCCATGTTTGACCTGCTGCTTTGTAGGACTACAGGAATGGAGGATTTGGAGGCTAACCCCGGCTCTCTGTGACACTTTTTGTAGTGAACTGATGAAAGCTGTGTCCCAGAAGGTGTGGATGTTAGTCCAACACATCAAAAGCTCTCAGTTGATGTGAACATGAATGATTTGTTTCCTCTGCAGGTGACGGTAGAAAGTGTGTGTGAGCTGATGTGAATTGAGCAGCATGGATCAGTGTGAGGACAGAGAGGAGGGAGTCCCTCCCTCTAAAACCACTTGGTGTGGGGAACATGAGAGCCAGACCAAAGCTCAGAGGTGAGATGACCATCTCTAACTGTCCATGACTCTTCTACATGTCACAGCTCAACACTCACATCACTGCTCCATCATTATTCACAGGAACCAGCCTGGACCTCCACTCAGTGACGAGTCAAAGGGCATGGATGATGAGTTTAAAGAAAACATCTGTCCTCCTGCAAAGAGGTAATGTATGTCTAAATGTTGTTTTGTCTCAGTGTTTGTGAATAAATCCTCCATGTTTAATGTCAGCTCACATCTTTTTCACACACATTTCTATGTTTATATGTGAAGCGGTGTGTGTTGGAGTGTTTCCACAAATGCATCATGTAAAGAATGGATGTTGTAGGAGGTGTAAAGAGGCTGAGTGTCTGTAGGACTCCAGCTGCTCAGTGTTCTTAATTTTCCTTAAATGTGTATATCAACAGCAGTGTCAAGGCTAAAGTTACATTAAGTGACATATACATAGGGCTGCTCAATTAATC